GTCCTGGTGCCAAGTGCACATATGAACACCCTTATGCTTGAACATGGTGTTCATTATGGACAATCCATGACGAGCACAGAAGTCCAATAACAAAACACCACTCGGGTTCTGATCGGGGGGGCCGTTCCTCCCAATCACGCCCCTCCAGGTTTCACTGTCATTGCCCACGTGAGCATTGAAGTCCCCCAGCAGAACAAGAGAGTCCCCAGGAGGAGCGCTCTACAACACCCCTTCCAAGGACTCCAAAAAGGGTGGGTATTCTGAACTGCTGTTTGGCGCATAAGCGCAAACAACAGTCAGGACCCATCCCCCCACCCGAAGGCGAAGGGAGGCTACCCTCTCGTCCATCGCGGTAAACCCCATTGTACAGGCGCCCAGCCAGGGGGCGGTAAGTATGCCCACCCCTGCCCGGCGCCTCTCCCCGTGAACAACTCCAGAGTGGAAGAAGGTCCAACCCCCTTCGAGGAGACTGGTTCCAGAGCCCAAGCCGTGCGTCGAGGTGAGCCCGACTACATCTAATCGGAAACTCGCGGCCTCGCGCACCCAGCTCAGGCTCCTTCCCCACCAGAGAGGTGACATTCCATGTCCCTAGAGCTAGCTTCTGTAGCTGAGGATCAGACCGCCAAGGTCCCCTCCTTCGGCCACTACCCAACTTGCACTGCACCCGACCCCTTTGGCCCCTCCTACAGGTGGTGAGCCCATTGGAACACGCAAACCCCTCCACCACGATAAGGTCTTGGCTCCAGGAGGGTCAACTGTTCTTATTTATTTTTAAACTCTTTGTAGTACCTGCCTCTCTACTAATTGGACACTATGGTTATACAATTATTGTTTAATGTTAATTAATATCCTATCGTGTCTTTTTATAGTCATGTCTCCTATAATTATGTTCCCTGTCCACAGTCTGGAGCTGAGCAGCGATGCATTTTACTGCACATTGTACTGTAGTAAAGCACACATTGTACTACATAAAATGAAAGCCGCTTCCCGGCAAAGCACATCCTTTCCAGGGACAGGAGCTCTCCAAAGGTGTTGAGGATTACCTCAGATTCCCCCCTCAGGTGCCATAAGCATAAATCTCTCCGGAAGAGCATGAAGTTCCAGCATTTTTTTATCCTGTCAGACAGCAGACGCCACCTGAATTGCCAACTTTGTCTCGGCAACTTTTTGCATTGAGAAAAACATCATTCTAAAAACAGCACCCTTGGGCCTGGCAGTGGCCAGGGCCACAAATGGAGTGAAAGGTGTGTGGCGGCATTAGAAAGGGTGTTTAGTCACCTCCGCTGTGGGCAGCCTCACTCGGACGCAGTAGCACTGAACCGCCAAGCTTTTTAAGCTGCGAAAGCTCCAGTGCGGAAAACATGCATGTGTGTCACCTTTTCTGTGTCGTGGCAGAAAACCGGGACACGTGACGTCATCCTTCCCCGGGCCACATCGGACTGACCCTCAGCTCTCTGAGCACCTAAAAGAATTGGACGCCCCTCCAGTTTCCAACAAGACATCGTAAATGCAACCTGGGACAGCTCGCATGCATTTTCAGGTTTGGGGGGGGGGGGGGAACTCAACATCTGGGACCGCCTCTCCAGACCAGATCACCGACATCTCGTTAGAATTCTCACCCAGCAGTGGCATCTGTTGTCCGACAGCCAGGCAGCCCCCCAGCTGCCGTTGTGTCAGGATACTCACACTTTGTCCATGTAGACGGGAGGCAAGGCCTTGCGACTCGAGAGGAGGACGATGGTGAAGACCGTGATGAGGAAGAGGGCAAGGACGGCGCCGATCACTGCTCCTGCCACCATCATCGGGGAGGTCAGCTGTTTTTCCGCGGGATCTGCGATGGAGTGAAACGTGCTTCAGATCTCAAGGGAGAAGAAGGGCGTAACACCGCACAATTTAGCAGGTCATTCTCACAAATTCATTACCATAACACATCAATTTTATCTCATTTTTTTAAGTTTGAAAACAGGCACAGATTCACTGTTTAAACTGTCAGTTTTGCCCCTGGGGTAGCTAATCAGTTTTGTTAAAGAGCCATTTATTTTTGTAATTAAAAGAAGAATTTCATCAAATCCAGGGTAGGAGTTTTGGAGATGAGGGGAAAAAAATGATAAAACTAAGACTGAGCAAAAAAACATTTTATCATGCAAATCGATTATATTGTGGGTTATATGCAATAAGGCTGAAAGATTTAGGTAGTTTCACGTTAGTTAGATCTTAAAACTGTTACGGCAATGAAATTCTTGGCTACCTGTTTGTGGAAAATGGTTAAAAAGAAAAAAACATTAAATCAGAGCAACAAATGACATAATGGTAAAGTACCTAAAAAAAATGGTGAGACTGTCCCAAAGTAACACAGCAGTTTAACACAGTACAGAACAGAGTGAGGATCCAGCGGAGTACCATGTGGGAGCTGTACCACAGTAAAGCACAGTCCGGCACCGTAAGCACATATTTCCCTGAATACCATCCCTACGTGCCTCATGCACGATCCCAGTCCATCCCTACCAGCTCTGACCCCCTCAGCCCCACCAGGGACACAAACAAACAGCAGGCTGAATTCCATCACATCGACATCTCCCAGGGGGTCCGTTTAAGTCTTGGCGCTGTCAATAAACAATAACACTAACGGTCATTCTACTTTCTGCTGCTTCATTCACCAGAATTCCCTAACCCAGGGAATGTCGGATACGCGTTGCGCCGTGTCAATCATGGAGACGTTTCGTGGGGAGATCGCTATCCTGACATCAGCACAGGAGACGGCACTGCGGCCGTCGAGCTCAGACCCCTCTGTACTGGCCGGGGTCCCCTTTGGCTCTTCTGGCTCTGCTCATCCGTTACATCACATGCTCATTATCCAGCTCATCGGGGGGCCCATGGGGGGCAGATTAGTGCCAATTAATTACAATTAATTAAACGCAAGGTTGCCAGCCTCTGGACCATGGGCAGGATCCCAGCAAGGAGAGGGCGGGGGTGGTGGAAGGGGGGTGATGCTGTGTTACATAATGCCAGACAGCACTCCACCAACTGGCTGGGTGTGGGAACTACAGCTATGTACAGTGAAAGACTATGGAGACGATGACTGAAAAGGCGCCGATCTAATGTCAGCGGATACAAAAAAATGTGGGCTCAGAAAAGGGGGGGGGGGCTCATGCTGAAGGGGAGCCGCTGAGGTGATGTTTGGCCTGCAGGGGGGGTGAGGTTAAAAAACATGCGCTGGCCACACGGCTTCAGGGAAAGAGCGCGTGTTGAGGGAATGAATCAGGACACACATGCCGGCAGGAAGGGCCACGGCTAGAACCCATATATAGGGAGAGGAGAGACAGACCCCGGCAGCAGCCGGGCAGACTGCAGATTAACCATGAAGTGCAGGAAAATCGATAAGCGAGAGAGAGCGCTTTAGTTACGCTGTGGAGCGCACACATGCGGAGCACAGGGGCGCCTGCCTCCGCCAGACTGAGAGACGGCGGCCGATGACCAGCTGCCCCTGGCCGACCCGACCGGCTCAAATCCGCATCACTTTTTAATCCTGCATCAGTCGGCCGTCTAAATGTGAGACACGCTTTCCGCAGCTGGAGCATTGGCGGTTGCTATGGAGACGCAGGAGTAGGGGGCGGGGCATTTTATCAGTAAACGTTGCTGAGGGCAGGGAATACCGTAGAGGTTAAGGAATCGCTTTTAGCTGCTCGTTTCCACTCCCCTTGCTGTTCTTCCTTTGAAGATGACACTGCGACTCATATCTTCAGTAACACATCCACTTGTCCCTTTATTAAACAAAGATGACATTTGGAGCTTACAGATAACGTCAAACTCACAGCGCTCGCTTCTCGTCCTACTAACATAGGCCCATATTTTAGGCCTGCAGGTCCCGCCACTTGGGACAGACAATCAGAGAGAGACGAACCATCAGCTCCATGTTAGCCTCCTAGCTGTGATGTCACCAGCTCACACTGCCATAACCAGCAGGATGGACCTATGAACACACAGATTTCCTGTTTACTGTGCCAGAACCCATACAGTGACTTAATCTGAACAAAATGACTCAGAAAACCCACATGGCGGAACCACAAAGACGTGCTTTCTCGTCATCAGTGCTATGCCTTTCCAATTTGTCCTGCATACCACAATCCCCCCAAAAATGCAACAGCGACGTTGTAATGGATTCAGTAGATTTTTCCGGTACTCAAGAGGCTTGTGAATGGAGAGGCTGAGGAACAAAATTATTGTCTGGACAACCATCACATCCCACCAAAACGTCTGAAGTATATCCATGAATATCTGTGTACAGGGGGGGGGGGCACGGGAGGAGCATAAAGTCAAATCCACTTGTCCGTTTGCTTTTGAAAAACCTTTTGTTTTAAAACAATTCGGATATAATTCATGCTTTTATTAAAAAAGTTAAATAAATTATTGGCTTGCATTATTTGTAGGTTTTTTTTTTTCACGATTGTTCATTGCTGCATACCAGCAAAATATCATCCCAAATCATTACAGATGCCTGAACCGTTAGCAAGTGGAGCGTGCAGGAACTGGCATCGTTGCATAAACAAAACATCAAACATTTGCTAAGTAGTCAAGTAAAATAGCAAAAGCCTCACCAAACAAAACGCCAAACAAAACATGGATGCCACTGTGAATATGGGAGAGGCATTAAAGTGTTGGCACGGTATTGGACCATCCACGTCAACAAAGGGTCAGAGGTGAAAGAGCCAGCGGGAGTAGCAGCTATTGTCTCAACTCCCCATCTCTGCATTTCACTGGCTACACAAAGGGACCCTTCAGAGAAGACTGACTTACATTTGTTCCTGTTAAATGGAAACCTGTTATTCAATTGTTTTTGGTCTGGGATTCAGACAGACAAAATACTGTTGTCTTCTTCTGTTAGGCCATTTAAAAGGGGGGACAATACACTTTTGACACTCATTGGGTTTACTGGGAAGCCATGGTGCTGGAACTGTCAAGGAACCATGACGACGGCAGAACTTTGACTGTATATTGTCTGCTATTCCAGAACAAAACCTTTACACAACAGACTGTTTCTTACCACAATAGTATGGCAGGAAGCCACTGGCCTGCTGGGAGAGCCATGTGTCGGCCTCTTTGCACCAGTCAACACACACGGGCGGGATCATGTTCCGTTTAGCGAATAGGGCAAAGAGTTTCACAACGAGAGGTCAGAGGTCATGTCCCAGGCTCTCTCACAACTCTGCTGCTGTAGGTGGGATTGGGGGAGACTGGTTTTAGACAACTCAGTTCTTCCTTTTACCCAGACATATATCACATATTGCTGTCTATCTGGGGACCCACACATTACTGTCATTTATCTTAATCCTAAACCAGCAAAATTCAAGATTTCAAGCAATTTATTGTCATTTACAACAATGTCCACACAATGAAATTTTTAGTATGTTTAATCTTCCAGATGCAGCTGCTGCAAAAAAAACTAAAAAGCAAAAAAAGAACAATAGCTCAGTAGATATGAATATAAAATACATACATATCCACCACTCAAAAAGCAAATAAAACTCAAAAAGGGAGATTTTGTCTCACGTCGATGTCTTCACAAAGATTTTTCTTTTCACATTTTCCAGATATTGTAGCGATGTTTGAAAACCATTCCATGCACAAAAGCAGATTTGCTACCTACTTATCCTGCTATGTCGTCTGGCCACCTTTTGTCAGGCCCCGCCCACGTCCCCATATAGACCATATAAACCAGTAGGCTGACTTGCATACTCTGCAAACTCCCAGCACATGTGATCATATCAACCAAAAAAGAGGCAACATTGTGGAGGACAAGAGAGATTTTCCCCCCATCACAACACTAATAATACCTCTTCAACACAAATTCTGATGGTGCAGAGTAGGATACTTATAGTAAATCACGTTGATAAGATCACTAACACACTGCCAATACTAAGTCAAACAACCTTTCTGAATGAACACATGGGCCTTTATTTATACACAGAGGTACTAATGGACACAGAGTGGTCTTTCTGTGTTGCATAGCGGTGCTATATTACACAGCATACGTGTGTTCCCCTGCACACAGTGCAGTCAGTGCCCAGCATGCCACACACCAACGTCTTTCAAGCAGGATGCAGAGCGAACACTAAGGCACAGTGACCAGCAGACACACGGGAAGCCTTTCAAGACGATGGGATAGAGAAAGGATGCACAAGGACCTCTAATAGCCCAAAACCCGATGCCATCCGCATCGTTCTTGCAGGAGGTAGATTAGGCCAGGGTCACTGGTATCTGAGCCCGGTAAAGCGGATCAGAACCACACCGATGATCAGGAAGGCAACTGCTGGAGGGAGCTCTTTCATCACAGCTGGCAATGGAGGTCCGACTCCCCACCTGCCCCCACAGCAACACTCCCAGTAACATGAACATCCGTCTAAAGCTGGTGCATCAGCTGCAGGACTCTGCTGTTGTACCCTTCAGTAGAATCCTCTAAATTAGCCACTGTTACAACAGGCCGATGTAGAATTTCAGCAGCCAAGAGAAATAAGGTCCTGAGCACTGGGAGTCATTGTTGCCTCTTTTGAATGTAACCCAGTACAAGAACTGCAGGTATTGCCCCCCCCCCACAAAGGTAACCAGCCACCATTCAGGCTTGAGCTTATCTGATTGTCCCTTGAGACTCTGGTTTCGACAAGACAGAAATGACAGACACAGAGGAAAAGCAAATGTTTTGTGTGAAAGAGGGTGTTGGGGACTGGGGAGGGGCAAAAAGAGAGCT